AATGGTACTTGTTTACGATTCACATTACGAGTGGGCCTTGGTTGTGTATACGCTAAAATGAAACCTTCTTATCCTCACGCCGCCAACATTGCCTTTGCAGAGTACGCGAATGGAGGAAGTGCAGCCACACCTCTCGTCCTCCAAAAGCCATTCTCTCGCGGTTCCGTCTTGATCAACACCACAGATCCTTTTGCGGACCCTCTAGTCAACTTTGGGGCGTATAACAACCCAGTCGACCTCGAAATCATGCTCGATATATTCAAGACGTGGCGTAAACTCCTCACTCTCCCTTCATGGAAAGTCCTAAACCCAATTGAATACGATCCAGGGGTCAACGTTACCACTGACGATGATCTCAAAGAATATCTAAGGCAATCTTCCACTCCAACTATTGCTCATCCTTGCTGTACGGCCGCCATGATGCCAAAGCGCTTCGGAGGAGTCGTGGATTCGAACTTGAAAGTCTATGGCGTAAATGGTCTCAGCGTAGTAGACGCTTCTATCATGCCTATCATCCCATCTACCCATCTCCAGTCTACTGTCTACGCTGTCGCAGAAAAGGTGAATTTCTTTCCGCTGTACTTCGCATATTGACTTGGCTGATCTTGTTCGAATAGGCTGCTGATATCATTCGGGCTCGTCATGGGATTTAGTGAAGCTGGGAACCGGGTAGAGGTTCTTCAATGGCACCTCTCCACAGGAATTGCTAGGCATCTGGTGATTCGAATCAGTCGATAACGATTTATAGAAGTGAACAAGCCTGTATAGATAGCGACTTCAATGAGAATGCACAAGATGACCACCTCTATAATCATTTGGAACTTGACCAATCACGATACAGCCTCATACAGTAGCACACGGACATCTCCTAGTCGGTATCACTGGCCGGGATCCTAACTTATCGTGTGTTTCCTGGAGGGATACTGGATGGATGTTGTTTGCGAGAGTGAATGTGACGGCCTTGGAGCATCGAGAAAGTAGCAGAATCAAAATCACTAATGTTTTCAAAATATCTAATCACCGTCGAGAAGAATCATGAAAGCGCTTAGAATTTCCAATGATCCAGTCTCCTCAAATATTACACCCTCCCTTACCTTCGCAGAGACTCTTACCCCACTGAACCTATATATCTCATCCACAAAGAAGGAATAAGAACCCAAGTACTATGAAATTCCAGCCCATACAGAATGTTGGGCTCAAGTTCGAGCCAGAGTCAAACATGGATGGGTATGTACGTCTGGCTCTCTTCAACGGCATGGCGCTAACTTTTGCCTTGGCCTCCACTTTGAATCCAACCTAACATTAAGCACACATTTCAACTGCAATTTCGATACAATCTTCGTATCCACCTCCATAAAAACTTCCAATGGCTCAAAACGTTCCGTTCTCTATAGTCACCCTCCATCCGTAACTCTGGAATGTCGCCCTCCAACCAGTGGAAACTCTGACATTCTGACAAAGACTGATGAAAACACATATCTTTCTGAGCAAGTGAATTGGGGAGGAGGAGGTGCGATATTGCTGGGCATGCAAATGTGGCATCCGCAGTATCCCCCCCCCCAGCACATATCTTTCCTTTGTACTCTGTCATCCAAGCAATTAGGGTCAGCGCGGCTTCTGAATAAACTAGTATAGCTGTGGCACTGTCTATAGAAATATTGTAAAGTAGCCGAGGTTATATTCTATTCCTCATTTCTAGTTACTCCTCGATGATCCTTGTCTACTCTCGATTTAGTGGATAACAGGCAGTGAGGTGTGCCCATATGAGCGGCAAAAGAATAATAGAATAAGAAGGGAAATACATATTCGTCGTAGCTACACCGAAAACCCAATGTTCCTGAAAGCCAATCTCGCCGGTTCTCCGTATCGGTCCACAAATGCTCGCGCCCTCTCCCTAAATTTTCGCAAATAAACTTGCCCAAGGTGCCATTTAGAGAGCGGCCGTACATTTTCGTTTGCAAGTAACTGACACACCCGAAGGATGTCGAGTCGGTCTTTGCTGTTCGCCTTTTGTCGCTTGTCTGGACGCCCTACAGCGTCGACACGATCCTCCCATCCAAGGAGCTTGTGATAGAGAATAAAGTGGAGCGGTGCTACTGGCAAGCCTGATAGCACGACAGCTTGTTCGATGGTCAAACCTCTTGGAATTTCTACCGATGGTTCATTGGCAAAGAGAAGGTCAATTTCGATGAGACGGGGAGAACGTGGAACATGATACATGAGTCTCTTGAACGTGGCATTGGGCGTTCTAATAGGATCTATGAGGCAAAATCGTTCTGGGTCATGATCACAGAGCGCTTGCTTGATCGTCATCTGGTCCCGGCGGGGTCTAAGCACAATGAAATCCACATCCTAATCCAGCACATTAGATCATTGAAATGGATGATAGAGTCTATTCACCTTCATTCCCCGTTTGATCCCGTGCAATTTGATACCAAGCCCGCCTATAAGACAACAAGATGGCTCTCCGACTTCCTCTAGAGCCTTCAAGACATAAGCCGCCGTTCTAAGGCATTGAGCATACGTGGGAGGGGATTTTATTCGTGGAAGTCGTGGGCACCTGCGATCCATCTACAGAAATGGAGGAGTGGTGTAACCGCTCCTGCCACCAAGATATGGGCGACCAGATTGGCACCTCTCTGACGAGCAAGAAGCGGTTACTCGGCTATACTGCACCAATGTGTTGGGTACGAAGTGCTGAACAGGCACAATGAGAGCGTGTCGGCACGAGCTAATCGAAGAGCTGAAAAGAACAAATGGGTTGTAGAGATTTCGACGTGGTGATTCCCCGCTTCAACTAATACCGTCGGTCTACAGAATCGCGGACGACTTAGTGAAGATAGCTTCGCATAACTTGAAAAGCGAGAATGTTTAAATTTAGCTTCATGGAGCTTGAGGATAAGAAGGTTTCATTTTAGCGTATACACAACCAAGGCCCACTCGTAATGTGAATCGTAAACAAGTACCATT